CCTTGATCGGGAGGAGCAGGAGGAGGAGGAGAAGGACGAGGACGAGGACGAGGACGAGGAGGACGAGGAGGAGGACGAGGAGGATGAGAGCAGCTGTCCGACCAAGGATCCGGATCGGCCCGAGCAGGCCCAGGAGAGCTTACTTGGGCAGCCTTGGGACCCTCTCTGGGGCCATTTTGGGGTCCTGTCGGGCTCTCTTGGGGCCCTCTTGTGGGCGCCGCCTCCGCCGCCGCCGCCGCCGCCGCCGGCGCCTCCTCCTCCTCCTTTTCATCCTCCTCCTCCTCCTCCTTCTCCTCCTCCTCCTCCTCCTCCTCCTCCTCCTCCTCTCCTCCTCCTCTCCTCCTCCTCCCTCCTCCTCCTTATCCTCCTCCTCCTCCTCCTCTCCTCCTTCCTCCTTATCCTCCTCCTCCTCCTCCACCTCCTCCTCCTCCTCCTCCTCCTTCTCCTCCTCCTCCTCCTCCTCCGACAAAAATACTTTCCCCGGGAGAATCGAACACTCCCCGGGAAAGTCGAACATTCCCCGGGACAACCCTTCCCACGCTTGATTCCCAGGTAGAATATGTGAGAGACTTCTGAGAGGCTTCTGATTGGGTTTCTGAGAGTATTCTGTGAGGCTTCTGAGAGGCTTCTGAGAGTATTCTATGAGGCTTCTGAGAGGCTTCTGAATGGGTTTCTGAGAGGCTTCTAAGAGGTTTCTGAATGGGTTTCTGGGAGGCTTCCGAGAGGCTTCTGAATGGGTTTCTGGGAGGCTTCCGAGAGGCTTGTGAATGGGTTTCTGGGAGGCTTCCGAGAGGCTTGTGAATGGGTTTCAGGGAGGATTCCGAGAGGCTTGTGAATGGGTTTCTGAGAGGTTTCTGAAAGGCTTCTGCGGGGCTTCTGCGAGGCTTATGAGAAGCTTCTGCGAGGCTTCTGAGAGGTTTCTGCATGGATTTCTGAGAGTATTCTAAGAGGCTTCTGAATGGCTTCTGCATGGGTTTCTGAAAGGCTTCCGAGAGGCTTTTGAATGGGTTTCTGAGAGGCTTCTAAGAGGCTTCTGAATGGGTTTCTGGGAGGCTTCTGAGAGGCTTGTGAATGGGTTTCTGAATGGCTTCTGAGAGGCTTGTGAATGGGTTTCTGAGAGGCTTCTGAGAGGCTTGTGAGAGGCTTATGAGAGGCTTCTGAATGGCTTCTGAATGGGTTTCTGGGAGGCTTCCGAGAGGCTTGTGAATGGGTTCCTGAGAGGCTTCTAATAGGCTTCTGAATGGGTTTCTGGGAGGCTTCCGAGAGGCTTGTGAATGGGTTTCTGAGAGGCTTCTGAGAGGCTTGTGAATGGGGTTTCTGAGAGGTTTCTGAGAGGCTTGTGAGAGGCTCATGAATGGCTTCTGAGAGGCTTCTGAGAGGCCCCCGAAAGGCTTGTGAATGGGATTCTGGGAGGCTTCCGAAAAGGCTTGTGAATGGGTTCCTGAAAGGCTTCCGAGAGGCTTCTGCGGGGCTTCTGCGAGGCTTATGAGAGGCTTCTGCGAGGCTTCTGAGAGGCGTCTGAGAAGCTTCTGAGTGGCTTCTGAGAGGCTTCTGAGAGGCTTCTGAATGGCTTCTGAATGGGTTTCTGAGAGGCTTCCGAGAGGCTTCTGAATGGGTTTCTGAAAGGCTTCCGACGGGCCCCTCGCCCTCGTCGCCGTCGCCGTCGTCGTTCCCGCCGATGTGCGTTTCGGTTTTCAGTTTTTCGTTGTTTTCGGACCCTGGAGGCCATGTTCGGGCCGCGGGGCCTGAAACATGTCCCCAGGGTGCAAAACCGCGTCGGACGGCCCGCCCGCCGGTTCGGTTCGGCCAGGAGGAGAAAAACAACGAGGAGGAGGAGGAGAAGAAAAACTATTACTACTACTTCGACTACGATTACTACTACTACTACTACTACTACTACTACTACTACTACTACTACTACTACTACTACTACTACTACTACTACTACTACTACTACTACTACTACTACTACTACTACTACTACTACTACTACTACTACTACTACTACTACTACTACTACTACTACTACTACTACTACTACTACTACTACTACTACTACTACTACTACTACTACTACTACTACTACTACTACTACTACTACTACCTACGACTACTACTACGACCACTACTACTACTACTACTACTACTACTACTACTACTACTACTACTACTACTACTACTACTACTACTACTACTATTACTACTACTACGACTACTACTACTACTACTACTACTACTACTACTACTACTACTACTACGACTACTACTACTACTACTACTACTACTACTACTACTACTACTACTACTACTACTACTACTACTACTACTACTACTACTACTACTACTACTACTACTACTACTACTACTACTACTAGTACTACTACCAGTACTACTACTACTACTACTACTACTACTACTACTACTACTACTACTACCACTACTACTACCGCTGCCACTACCACTACCACGTCCACTACCACAACCACAACCATTACCACTATCATTTCCACCACCATTACCAATAGCAGTACTATAACGCGCGAGCACAAGGAGATCAGACATTCCCCGGTATGTTTTTCGAAAACCGAATGGTCACACGTAAGCCAACCAGTTGGCTTTCGAAGACTCTGCAGCCCGACCCCGCTCGAAACATTCGCAAAAGAAGCGCCGCAGGAATCGTACATTCCCCGGTGCTACCAGGGAATGTTCGTTTTTCCCGGGGAATGTTCGATTTTCCCGGGCTAAGTATCGATCGCCTCCTCCTCCTCCTCCTCCTCTTCCTCCTCCTCCTCCTTATCCTCATCCTCATCCTCCTCCTCCTCCTCCTCCTCCTCCTCCTCCTCCTCCTCCTCCTCCTCTTCCTCCTCCTCCTCCTCCTCTCTCCTCTCCTCCTCCTCCTCCTCCTCCTCCTCCTCCTCCTCCTCCTCCTCCTCCTCCTCCTCCTCCTCCTCCTCCTCCTCCTCCTCCTCCTCCCTGGGGACCCTCATGGGGCAGCCTTGGAGCCTTTCGATGAGAGAAATGGGGGCACTCAATGGAAGGAGGCTGGAAGAGCTAACTCGCCAGACGGCCTACGCCTGGAGGGCTGGCGGGACTGTAGATGTCGTGGCCGGCCGCTTCGGAGAGCGCCGTTGCGTCCCACCCTTGCCTTACCGTGGCTTGGATCCAGGTGGCCGCCGACAGAGACGGCCGGTTCGGAGAGCGCGCCGACTTTTGGCCAGGTCTGGAGCCCTGGCGGGGGCCAGAGATCCTCGCGTACTCCGCCTTCGGCCCTCCGACCGCCGCCCACGTCGAGCGCCCGTTGCCCCGCGTGCATTCTGCAGCTCGGAGTATGGCCGCTCATCCAGCCGCCTGCTGTAAGTCCCGCCACCGCGCCAGCTCAGCACTCGGCGGCAACTGATCGAGGGGCGCACCAGAAGCTGTGACTCGGGGAACGTCTTCCCAGTCCGCGGGCGCCAGGGTGTGCGAGACGGTCAAAGCGCTGGTCAAGGCGAGCACACCTCGGGGAACACAGAATGGCGTAAACATCAACTTTCGGAGGTCCGCGCTAATTTCTCGGATCGGCGCTGGAGCCCCCTGGCGGCGCCTCCGGCGCCGCCCTTGGTGCGTTCCGCGCACCAGGGAGGGGGGCGCAGCGCCGACCCAAGAAATCAGTGCGGACCTCCGAAAAGTTTATGTCTACGTCATGATTTTTCCCCGAGGAGTGGCGACTGCTCAAGGGGCGCACTGGAGGCTGTAACGTGTGACACCTCGCGTCCCCAGGTTCCGGAGAGCTGTAACATGTGACACGCTCTTCCGCGTCGCGTCGGTGTGTCACTCCTCGTCCTCGTCATAATGTCCCCTTCTCTCTGCGTTCCTCCTGCCCCACCACCTCGCAGTTTCTCATCCTTCCTCCTGCCCCATCCACTGTATTGCGACGGTTGAAGCAACACCCAGAAGTCATGACATGTGACACCTCTCGTCGGCATTCCGCGAGAAGCCGTCTCATGGGGCCTCGTTGGGTCGTCTTGGAGCTTTACTGGACTCCTGCGGGGCCCTCTTGGGACTCTCTTGGGCCGTCTTGCTGTTTTCCTGGGCCGTCCTGGTGCCGTCTTGGGCCCCCTCGGCCGTCTGAGGAGTGCTTCGGGGCTGTGTGTTGGGGAAACTTGGGGCCGTCGTAGGCAATCTTGCGGCTCTCCTGGGCCCGTCCTGGGCCCTCCCTGGGGCTGTTCGGAGCCGTTTGGTGGGCTTCTTACGGTCGGCATGTTGCTTGTTTATCTTCTCTTCGGTTCCTCCGAGGTCGTTCTGGAAACGGGCATCCTCTCACTCCCCCTGCTCCTCCTCCTCCTCCTCCTCCTCCTCCTCCTCCTCCTCCTCCTCCCCCTCCTAGCTTTCTTCTTCGCCACGCCCTTCGTTTCTGCCCCCCCACCTCTGCTCGGCCCTCCGGACCTGCGACGTCGCCATTTTTTCCACACCGTAGCTCCCCAAGGTTTCTTCAGCCAAGAGGCCTGAGAAGCGCAAGATCTTCACAAACCGAACGTGTCCCTCGGGCTTTGAGTGGTCTGAGCCAGCCTGAAGTGCCTCGTGACTTTCGGGTGTTTTGAAGTTCCTTCGCATCGCTCGGGCGTGTGCATCTTTCACGGCGGGGACCATTGAGGAGCATTTTGGGTCACCTTGCGGAAAGGTCGAACAAAAAACGCACGAACTTGAGCAATACACGTGGAATGGACGTCCGAGCAATGGCAAGATCTTCCTGGAGCCCTTTTGGCGCCTAGTAGTATCTTCTCGGGGGACGTCGGGGGACTCCTGAAGCAAGGTTGCGACCAGCTTGGCGGCATTGACGGCCTTCCTGGGCCGTCTTGGAAGCCGTGGAAAGCTTTCGAGAATCCCATGGAGGCGCTAGGGCGGCCCAGGGGGCCTTGGGAGTGGAGGGCGATGGATTCAGTTAAGCGTGGTGAGAGGGGGGGCGGCTTAGAAGACTTGCAGAAATCCTACAAGACAGCATTTGGCATTCTACCACGCCTCCAAGTGCCATGGGGCACGGTAGCAGATTTGTTCCTCATCCTATTATTGCCCTTCTTCCACCTCTTTGCGACCATTCTGGCTCAAGATTCGGTTCACTCAGCATCAGGAGAACTCTCACTCCGGTCTGTCTGTCTGACCTTCGAGACGGTCGAAACCGTTTACGACCTGTCAAGTTCTACGCAACCAGCCATGCTCAGCATGAGTGTCGTCACTACGCTCTTCGAAGACAAGCCTGGTCGAATCGACTCCGCCAGCTTCTCTGTGCTCACCGTGGCGATGGTCCTCTCCTTCTTGCCGCTATCGGTCTCCCACCTGATATCGCTCATCGTCGGCGCCTTGATGTTCGTGTCCGTCCAGGCCCTCAGCCTGAGCGTCGACCGCGAGAAGGCGCCGAAGGGCAAGGCCAGCTCTTGCCGCAGGGCCCCCCCAAGGTCGCCGACGGGCGCTGCTCAGAGGCCGGGCTCCCCCGCCAACGCCAAGCCCACGGCCAAGGGCCCCGCGGCCACTCCTTCGAAGCCGGAGGTCTGGAAGCCCAGCGTCCAGCCCGTGCTGGCGCCGAAGTTCACCTCCCAGGGCTGGGATGCCGAGGTGCAGGACCAGCGACGCAGGGAGGCAGTATCGTTTTCTGGCTATCCCCATTCCCACCGGGCCAGTGCATCTCAGCCCCAACATCCCAACCCCCCTAGTTGGGGATGGGCGCCTCGAAGCCCGAAGGGAAAAGCCTCCATCCCCATCTAGGGGGCGAAGATCGGCCAGCGGGGCCATGGCCATGCCGGTGGGGATGGAGACCTGTGAGACGATGCTCAGGGAGGGGAGGTCAGAGGAGAGGGGCCGAGTCTGGGGGGGGGGCGGAGGGCCTTCCGCGGGGTCGTGCCATCCGCTGCAGCGCCCAGGGAGGATCCAGGGCGTGGGTCGGCTCGCCTGCTCGGGGTGGTCCGCAGGAACTGCTCGCCCAGCTGACCCCCACGGCCGAGACCAGCGAGGTGGTCGCGAAGATTACGCAGGCAGTGCGCGGCGTGGTGACGCAAGTCCTGCCTGGGGTCGAGGTCACCGGCTTCGTGGGCGCAAGCCTTGCAAGTGGCAAGGCATTCGGCGTCGCCGTTCCAGAGGTGGAGGTCGTGATCAGCGCCCCCCACTCTGCGTTGGTGCACAATCGCTGGCAAGGCCGGCAACGAGGCAAGAACGAGTGCACTGCACAGCAGTTGCGCAAATCTGCGGTCCGCGTCTGCACCGACCGCCTGGTGTCCGAAGGCGGCCGGTTTTCGGAATCAGCGTCACACAGAGGATGAGTCCGAATAATGTGAGCTCTGAAGAGCTCGTTCTGGACCTGGGAGGCCTCAGAGCCGAGGGTCGGTTGCGTCTTGGTCTCCCCGGCCTTCGAGCCAAGTGATCCTGGGGCCCCTCATCATTCGCGACTTCCCGAACGGACTGTTGACTAATTACGAACCCTAAGGCGGCTTCAAGTTCCGGCTGGGAGGCCTCAGAGCCGAGGGTCGGTTGCGTCTTGATCTCCCAGGCCTTCAAGTGATCCTGGGGCCCCTCGTCATTCGCGACTTCCCGAAGGGACTGTTGACTGATTACGAACCCCGAGGCGGCTTCAAGTTCCGGCGCTCCGCCTTCCGTGGGGACGAGCCGAGGGTCACCGTCGTCTCGCCGCCGGCCCTGCAGTCGGTGCCGATGAGCCTGTCCGTCAACGCTCTGACGCCGCTCTGCAACGCCATGCTCATCTCGGTGGCGAGCGACGGGGGAAGTGACCTCCTCCTCCTCCTCCTCCTGCTCCTCCTCCTCCTCCTCCTCCTCCTCCTCCTCCTCCTCCTCCTCCTCCTCCTCCTCCTATTCCTCCTCATTCTCCTCCTCCTGAGAAGGAGAAGGCCTTCTCAGAAGGCGGCGGGGCTTCTTAGAAGCCCTCGGGCCTTCGGAGAGGTTCCCGTGTCTTCAGGGGAGGCCCAGAAATTGTTCCAGAAGGCCGGAGGGCTTCCGAGCCTTCTGAGAAGGCCCGCCCCTTCTCCGCAGTTTCCCCCCGGAGCGCGCCGCCGCCCATCGCCCAGTGCACACGCATCGACCCGCGCACGCAGGGGCTCGTGCTTCTCGTCAAGCGCTGGGCAAAGGACCGAGGACTCTGTCACGTCGCCAGGGGCCACCTGTCGCTGTACGCCTGGACGCTCATGTCGGTCTACTTCCTCCAGACTGGCGCCGGAGGGGTGCTGCCGCCGCTGACGTGTCTGGAAACGCCGTCTGGCCTCACTGTGGAGGGTCAGCCTGGAGCCCAAGCCCAGGACTTAGCGTCCGCTGGCCACATCATTGCTGATTTGTATGATGTTCGCCGACGTTTGCTTCTGGGGGGTGGGCGGGGGGGATCGTCGTTATCACGATCCTTGCACTGTTGATCGGAAGGGCCGATGAATGTGTTGGGTTGGCGTGTGGCATCGAAAATTGTGCGCAGCCATTCAAATTTTCAACGAAACAAAAGCTTCATTATCAACGCGACATTCAAAAGTGCTGGATTACGCATTCAATCGAGTGCAGAATCCGCCGCCGTTAGCGAGCTCGCCGCGAGGCACGAGCTGCCTAAGCGAGGGGGCGGCGCGCCGCGGGGGCAGCATTCGGCTTGGGGAGCAGACTCCCAGTTGACGTGGGCTATGCGATGTTTGACCACGCGATCGGTTGGGTTGGTCATGCGATCGGTCACCCGCGCGTTCGGGCAGGGACATGCGGACTGCGACGGGGCCGGCTAGATTTCAAGGCGGCGGCGATGATTGCCGATGTGCTCCCCGACCTCTCCGTGGGCGGCTTGTTCAAGGCTTAAGTCGGGCGTGTCCCTCTACAGGAGGAATATTCAAGATTATCCCAGAGCGACCCTACCTAGGAATGGAGCCCCGAGGAGAGCAATATTAGTAGTAACGGTGAACGCCGTCCTCCTCCTTCTCCTCATCGTCGCAGTTGTAACAGTAGCGGCACCTGTCGCACATTGCTGTTGCTTTGCATTTCCTTTGTTTTGTTGTTGTGTTTGTTTTGCTTTGCGTTGCTTGTGCTTTGCTTTGCTGTGCTGTTGCTGCTGTTGCTTTGCCTTTGCTTTGATGCTATGCTATGCTATGCTATGATATGCTCTGCTGCGCTATGCTGTGCTGTGCTGTGCTGTGCTGCGCTATGCTGCGCTAGGGTATGCCAGGGTATGCTAAGTTGCGCTATGTTATGCGAGGCTATGCTATGTTATGCTATGCTATGCTATGCTGCGCTATGCTATGCTGTGCTGCGCTGTGTTATGCTATGCTATGCTATGCTATGCTATGCTGCGCTATGATATGCTAGGCTGTGATATGGCATGCTGTGCTGCGCTATGCTATGCTATGTTATGCTATGCTATGCTATGCTATGCTATGCTATGCTAATGCTGCGCTATGCGATGCTATGCTATGCTATGCTGCGCTATGCTATGATATGCTATGCTACGCTATGGTATGCTATGATATGCTGCTCTGTGCTATGCTATGATATGCTATGCTATGGTATGCTGCGCTATGCTATGCTCTGCTGCGCTATGCTATGCTGCGTTATGCTATGCTGTGCTATGCTATGCTATGCTATGCTATGCTAATGCTGCGCTAAGCTAAGCTAAGCTGAGTTAAGCTAAGCTAAGCTAGGCTAAGCTAAGTTAGGCTAGGCTAAGCTAAGCTAAGCTAAGGTAAGCTAGGCTAAGCTAAGATGAGATAAGCAACGCTAAGCTAAGGGGACGTCACTGGGGGAACCGCGGGGCGGATGCCGGGGGAACCGCCCGGGGCGATTTCCACTGACCGGCCCCTTTAAGCCCACAGAGTAAGAACCCTTCTAGGCAGAGCCTAGGTAGGGAAATAGTCAAAACATAGTCTGTTGACGATGTTTTGACTACTGGCCATTTGAGAGTATGTTTGATTACTTTTTCAGTTGTCTTCCCAAATCCTCCTGTAGGAGGGCATGGCCGACCTGATTCAAGGCGTTCTTACACTTCTACAGCTCGGAGTTCGACTGGAAGGGGGAGGCCGTGTCGGTCCGGTGCGGGAGGCGAGCGGCACCCGACAGCCGGCTGCCTCTTCACATCGTCGTGAACACCGACAGCAAGACCACGGAGGTGGGCCCCAACATCGAGGATTTTGCCGAAGGAGGAGGAGGAGGAGGATATTGATCAGGAAGACAGTCATCAGGTTGGGAGAGAGGAGGATATCCTGACCCGTAGGCGGCCGAAGGTATCGTTTCTGGCATCCGGATGCCACTGCTCATACCCTTCGTCCTCCCAGCCCTTTTTCTCCCCGCACCATAATTGCTCTCCTCGATTCTAGGTTCGCGTCGTGTCGACGCGGCGGCGACGCCGGCTCGGGCGCTCCAGGTGTTGAAGGCCGCTGACGGCCTGAGTTCGGCCATGACTGACTGGGCTCAGTTCTCACAGAGCCGGGATCGTTCGAGGCAGACCCCTTCCACGCGGTGTCAGAGACCGTCCCAGAAATCTTAACGGCACGAGCCAGCAGTAGGAGGGGGATGCGAGGAAGAGCAGGAGGGGGGGGGAAGGGAGGGTCCTCGGTTCGGCGGTGCGCAGAAGTTCACGACAAGCAAACAGACTCTGGGAGAATGCCCCGCCCGAGGGACGAAACAGTCAAGTAGGGGAGGGCAGGAGGAGGGTGGAAGAGGAGCAGGATCAGGAGCAGGAACAGGTGGATGGAAGATGGAAGATGCAGGGTGAAGGAGAGGAGGGGTCCCAGCATCGAGGACCCCTTCGACAGCGCCAGCAATCTCGGCGCGTGCACCACCGCCACCAGCTTGCAGCACCTGTTCAAGGAGCTCCCCCTCCTCCACCTCTCCTCCTCCTCTTCCTTCTCCTCCTCCTCCTCCTCCTTCCCCCTCGAGCCTCCTCATCCTCTTCCTCCTCCTCCTCCTCCTCCTCATCATCATCATCATCATCATCATCATCATCCTCCTCCTCCGTCTCCTCCTCCTCCTCGTCCTCCTTCTCCTCGGCCTGAGACATCTGCGAGGCAGTCTGGTCTCGCACGGATGCTGCACGCAGGAGGTTCTTTCTCCCGCCAATTGGCAAAGGGTTGCGGACCTTCACCATCATGTTTTCTTTGGACGGCGTGGACACATGGAGTCCAGGAGCACGTCCAAAACAACAATAATGCCGATGCAAGCGTATTCTGCAAGCGCGCGCAGCGATAACAAGCTTTCCGCCGCAAGCTTTTATCCGACTTCCAGCTCGGTAAGAGTTCCGCAGCAAGTACCAGAAGATCAGAATCCTCAGGCGGACCTGACGACTCGCACGGGCGCGGACTCTGATGACAGCCTACCTGTGTCGTCCTCCTCCTCCTCCTCCTCCTCCTCCTCCTTCTCATCCTCCTACTATAACTACTACTACCACTATTAATAATAAGAAGAAGAATAGTAATAAAAAATAGTGATATTCATCATAATAAGAGTAGTAATAATACTATGACTTATTCAAATAATAATATTTGTAATAATAACAATACGAATAGTAATTATCCCAGTGCGACCCTACCCAGGAGTTCGAGCCCCTAGGAAAGCAGCATTAGTAGTAACAGTAAAACTAAGCTAAAGCTAAGCCAAAGCTAAGCTAAAGCTCAGGTAAAGTTAAGCTAAAGCTAAGCTAAAGCTAAGGTAAAGCTAAGCTAAAGCTAAGCTAAAGCGAAGCTAAAGATAAGCTAAAGGTAAGCTGAAGTTAAGATAAAGCTCAGCTAAAGCTAAGCTAAAGCTAAGCTGAAGCTAAGCTAAAGCTACGCTAAAGCTAACTTAAAGCTAAAGCTAAAGCTAAAGCTCCCAAGGGACTGGGGGAGCCGCGGGGCGGATCCTGGGGGGACCGCCCGGGGCGGGTTCCACTGCCCGGCCCTGTAAGCCTCAGAGTAAGAACCATTCTAGGCAGAGTCTAGGCAGGGAATAATACGAATAACAATAATAGTCGTAGTATCACGACTGGTATCGTTACTACTACTACTACTACTACTACTACTGCTACTACTACTGCTACTGCTACTGCTACTACTACTACTACTACTACTACTACTACTACTACTACTACTACTACCACGACTACGACTACGGCTACGGCTACGGCTACTACTGCTACTAGTACTACTACTACTACTACTACTACTACTACTACTACTACTACTACTACTACTACTACTACTACTACTACTACTACTACTACTACTACTACTACTACTACTACTACTACTACTACTACTACTACTACTACTACTACTACTACTACTACTACTACTACTACTACTATTACTACTAATACTATTACTACTACTACTACTACTACTACTACTACTACTACTACTACTACTACTACTACTACTACTACTACTACTACTACTACTGCTGCTGCGCTGCTGCTACTACTACTACTTCTGATACTACTACTACTACTACCACTGCTACTACTGCTGCTGCCACAGGCTGCTGCTACTACTACGACTACTACTACTACTACGGCTACTACTACGACTGCTACTACTGCAACTACTGCTACTACTACTACTACTACTACTACTACTACTACTACTACTACTACTACGACTACTACGACTACTACTACTACTACTACTACTACTATTACTACTACTACCCCTACCACTACTACTACTACTACTACTACTACT